CACACGCCTACCGTCCCTACGTCGTCGTACCNCGGTACCTCCACCGACGAGAGAGAGAGAGAGAGAGAGAGAGAGAGAGAATCACTGCACAATTATTCAACTTGAATTTAGGCATTCTCTGGCCATCCCCCATAAGCCCATTCTTAGCTTAATTTAACATCTTTTTACCATTGGAATCTTCAAAGTTTTTGCGTTTCTTTCTGTGTAACCTGGTTCCTTAAATTGGGAACATGAGAAGGATGGGTATCTTCTTCATTTTTGTGTACTGGGCTTGTTGTCCCTTTAAATCGGAACCACAGGCTGTCTAAGATGATGTTATTCTCTTTGCAAATCTTTTTTGCAGGTGTATGCAAGGACATAATAATTGATGGCATACATCATTTCTTGAATGAAACAATGAAAACTTATTGAAGATAAAACTCTTTTCCGTTGATTATATAATCTCATTTTGTTATTATTGCACCCAAACTAAATGGTAGTCGATGCTTAAAACACTGATAAAGATGTTGGTAAATTGACTTTCGTTTATCATCACTTAGATCCTAATCACCCTATTGCAATAGTTAGAAGAGGAGACACATTAAGTCTAGGGCTGGGCTACCTTGCCCAGTCGGCTTGGCCCTAACGAACTGGGATTGGGCCACGAAATGTGGCTTGAGGGCCGGGCTATGGCCTAGTGACCACCGCTCGAGGACCACGTCGCCCCTTTTTCCCTTTTTGTGCTCTTCTTTTATCTAGGCTTATTATATCCATCCCGGCCCATAATGTGCTGGGAGTGGGCTTGGGCTAGGGCCTCTTCAGCCGTGTCCAGGCAAGGGTGGCCAGCCTTATAAGGGAACTAGGGCTGGTCTGGGCTGGGCTAGGGCTGGCTCGGCTTATTGCTAGTCCTATTTATGACCTTTGTACCGATAAAAAATATATAAGCCCTATTTATAAATACTGGTTGTTGGACCCCACAAAACAAAACTTAATGAAAATAAGAAATTCTTTTTACTGTGCTAAAAAGTCAAATCACGATATTTTGTTAGCACAAAATAAGTCTTAGCTATTTGATTCCCATATCATGTACCTACATCACTTGGACTTAATTCCAGTTTATGACCATTACTAGCCATGACCCATCGTCATCATCATATCGTCAAAGTCTTTTCTCAACTAATTGAGGTTGGCTACATGAATCCTAGTCTGTCATTTTGCTCTATTAAGGGCCATACCCTTAGTGAGGCGATAAGTCTCCATATCTTTTCTCACTACTTCCAAACATGTCCTTTTGGGCTTACCCCCTATCCTTTTTAAGCCTTCCACTTAAACTAACTTGCACCTTCTAATAGGTATTGTACTGGATCTGCGCCACACATGGCCAGCCCACCTAAGTCTACTCTCTCTCATCTTATCGTCTATTAGTGCTACACCAAAATTTTTCTGAATGTATTCATTTCGAATTCTATCTGTTCTTGTCTTGCCACTCATCCATCTCAACATCCTCATCTCACGCTACACTCATTCTATAGGAATATTATTTTTTGACCACCCAACATTCCGCCCCATAGAACAAAGATGGTCTCACAGCTGTCCTATAGAACTTGCCCTTCCTTTTCATTGGTATTTGGCAATCACATAAAATCCTGGTTGCACATGTCCTCTTCTCCCACCAAACTCTAATTTTATGTGCGACATCTTTTTCTCAATTTTCTTGGATTATCAACCCAATATATCGAAAGTGCACTCTTCTTTCTTGGTCGTCAATCTTAACTACTTCCTCGTCTCTACTCCTATTATTACTAAACTTGTATTCTATATACTTTGTCTTAGTTCAGCTAATTTTAAAACCTTTAGATTCTAAAGCATCCCTCCAAAGTTCTAACTTTGTTGACACCATTTTGGGTCTCGTCGATTAAAACTATGTCACCTGCAAACAACATGCACCACGGTACTCATCTTGTAGGTAGGTGCCTAGTTAAGTCGTTCATAATTAAGACAAGGAAGTATGGGCTCAATGCTAACTCATGATGTAGACCTATTGTCATTGCAAACTCACTCGTCTCTCCATTAATTATTCGTGTACTATTGTATATATCTCTCACCAAGTCGACGTAGTGTCTGGAGACTCCTTTCTATTCCAACTCCCACCAAATTAAATCTCGAGATACTCTATCATAAGATTTCTCAAGATCAATAAAGACCATGTGGAGGTCTTTTCCCTTCGCCCTAAACTTCTCAATTAGTTGCCTAAGTAGGAAAATAGCCTTGGTTGTTGACCTCCCTGGCAAAAAACTGAATTGGTTTTTTGATACATTTGTTTCGTGCCTTTGTCATTGCTCAATCACTCTGTCCTAAAGCTCCATAGTGTGGCTCATAAGTTTGATCCCTCAATTGTTTGCACAATTTTTTGTCTCCCTTGTTCTTATAAATAGGTACCACAATACTTTTCCTCTATTTGTCTGGCATTTTCTTTGTTCTTATCACCTTGTTGTCAGCAAGTCAATGCCAATCTCCCCCATGTGAAGCGCTGACCTAATACAACACTTGAGGTGCGATTTGGTTCAAGTGTAAGGCTCTAAAAGGGCAAGAGGAAGGCCCAAAAGGACATAGTGGAAGTAGTGAGATAAGATATGGGTACTTATAGTTTCATTGAAAGTATGGCCCTTGATAGAGCAGAATCGCAAAATATGATTCGTGTAGCCAACCCCAAATAGTTAGGATAATACTTTGATGATGATGATGATGATTTAATATTTAAACATACTACTATGATATGGACTAGTTCCGTAACTTGAGCTGTTGGGGATCTACATGTCCTTTGAGAACAAACTGGTGCCTTTTCTAAGAGAAGGATTAGTTTGCCCTACATATAGGATTTGTGTCCACACTTTCTTGACTTTTTCTTTCAGTTCATTCCAGCTGGTCTTTGTCTTAATGTGTTTGCTACCTTATGGCACAACTTGATCCACCCTCTTTTGCCATGAGGTGTGCTATCTATCAACCTTGAGTTTGTGCTACTGCTCTCTGTCATCTGTAAGTTTGTGTAATGCTGCTTGTGCAGCAATATTAACTCGGCCATGCAGTAACCAGAAACCCACATACTAGTTTTGGCAGTCTGTGATTGGAGATGTATTCCTCACGCACCCAATATGATGTGTTTCTCATTCAATGGGTTAATTAGCGACTTTTGAAATCCTGTATGAACTGTACAAGAATGAGTCGTATTCCATGGGCTCGTATGAACCCTGTATAACTGAAACAGAATAAGTTTTATTCCATGGCCTTGTACGAGTTCTTTGTTTAGTTTAGTTGTAAGGTCTTTTTCTTTTCCCTAATCAATGTTGCTTAGAAGATGGTGATTCCTACACTGCGCCATCTGATTTTCCTTATCATGTCATGATTGGTGGCGGGGGCAATTTTCAATATGCCCCGAAAAGGGAAAAAACCAGTTTTTTTATTTACTTTCATAACATTGGTCTTCAAAACATTTGTTTTTCTTTTGGCAATTTCTATGATATTGTGATATAAACAACTCCGATGTATTATTTTCTATCTTGAATGGAAAGCAAGATATGAATATTTCCAATACCAATATCTTGTAAACAATGATTATATATATATATATATATATATATAAAGGAGGTATACTGTGGAGGGGATAAATTTTAAAGTGCCCCTCCTGCCTATTCTTGCATGGATATGGACAGATGGGTAGTTCTTTTAATATCTTGAAATCATTTGGTTGTAGTGTTAAATTAAGTATCTCCTGTACCTGTCAAAACACCCTTGCTAGATTGACTAGGGTCTAAACTTTGATAGCTTATGATCTAACAATCAGAGAGTGAATGCCAGTACTACATGTAATTGTAATGCCTCTTACTCCTAGTTTATGTTGACTTAGATTGAGAAATCAATAACTCATAATTAAACCCTCAGAGAAAGCTGATACTCTGTAAAATTTGTCATAGCTGCAGTATAAAATTAGAAATGAAATTCATTGGGGTTAATTTTCATTCTTACGGAATATATTGGGACAAAAGTTCTTTAGGTCTTTTAATGAAAGACCTTTTGTTTTTATAGAACAAATTAATATTATTACTTGAAATGAACCACAAGACCACCAAGATGCCAAGTTGGTATCTCTAGGTCTCTGGGCTAGAGAAACAAAAAAAATTCCAGTTACTCCACTTCTGAGCCTGAGCATCAGGGTTCATGTTGGCACTGTGAAGAACATGGTGGAATTGCACCGGCCGGTGCTCACCCAACTCAAGCATTTCAACCAGCATTCTTCGCTTACTCTCCACAGGGTCCTGACATGCTCAGTAATCCGACTAATTGCATTATAGTCCTACAATCAAAGGGTATACAGACCGTCCTGTGGCTACTTCCACTCCCTCAAGGAGAGCTGCTTCATTTGTCTAGGACTATAATATCCTCAATATATGAAATGGGTAAGTTGCGGTGTACTGCTGACAGTGAATACTAGATTGCCGATGACAACATTACAAGCTAAAATTGCATGAATGACACATCTTAATCACACCTCATGCTTGGAGGAAACCCCTTCTACAGTGGATTCTTGTTGTCAAGGAATAATTTTTTTATCAAAATACCAGTGGATTCTTGTTATAAAGGAATCAGAAATCTATCAAAATAGCAAAGAGATATAAACTGTCCAACATTTACCCTTTTGCAAGTATTCCGACTTAGGACCATGTGTTTTTCATGGATATTTTGAAATTAAATCAAAAGACATGGGTAAAATGTTAAGTTATTCATCTCTCAGAGTGTTGGGGAAAAATAAATTTCCACTGGAATTGCCTTCAAGAAATTTACACTGGATTGCCTTCAACTCGTATGCCCAGATTATTTCTTTGGTTTTCGTTTATTAGATAACCGTTTAGTTGAATGATACAAACAAAAATAAAAGAAAATTGTTTAGTTAGTTGATCAAGTTAATTCTAGTACAATCAAAGCCATTGTATGTTTCTTTTCTGCAATTGAGTATGCCATTATACTTGATTTTTACTGGTTTCTAATATTTAAGATAATATTTATAGTCTTATACCACTAAAACATATCGTAGGCATTCTCCATCTCCAATTATTGAACCTCTAGCCATAATAACTTTTGTAAAGTAAGATTACTGATAATTGCCTTTTCTTAAATGACTTTCGTTTTAGGCCTACTTATCTTTTTCTTAGTGACTACTTGATAAGGACAACTCAGAATCCCATTGGTCCCTTTATAAATGTCTGCTTCTTTTGGGTAGGTCAACTTTGTTTGGGTGAGCAGATTTTCCTTCTGGGTAAAAACACCAGCAAATAAATAAATCTCAAAGGCACAAAGAGCATAAAATCGAAATCACATTATAGAAGCACTTTTCCTTCTGTTTCACCATGTGTTTATGTTGTCAATTTACTTATCACTGTGCTAAACTGTTGCTGTTTTCAAGCTTGCTTACCATGTCGTGGCTTTATTATCTTTTAACTTAGGGGTTGTTCCTCCATTAGATTAACCGAATCTTATTTTTATTTATGGATATTATTTTGGTTCCCTTCAAATAGTCATGGATTCTACTGAAGAACAAGAGAAATAATGATTCCTATTCTGACCTCTCTCTCTGAAGGTTTGGCTTTCCATCCTCTTGATGGTGTACTACAAGCTTTGCCACATGTTATTGCTTTCTTCATCGTTCCGACCCATTTCTTTACGCATGAGCTGCTGCTCTTTTGTGAGGGGGTGTGGACTACCAATATACATGACTGTATCCATGGAAATGTGTGGCCTGTAATGGGTGCTGGCTACCACACCATACACCATACCACCTATCGCCACAACTATGGACATTATACTATTTGGATGGACTGGATGTTTGGTACCCTCAGTGATCCCGTTTCAAAGCCAAAGAAGGCATCATAGTTTCTCTCTCTCTGGTGGATTTTCGCAGTGATGCATGCTCTATATTGGGTATTTTATTTTTCTCTTTCTCATGTCTTATATGTGCTTGCCATCATGCGATGTATATTTCCTTGTTTTGGTTTTGTTGTGCTGGTTGGTAGTTGGATTGTTCCACAACAATCACAATTCAAGATAGGGTTGGGGATTCTGAATGATCTGAAATTGCTTTATATCTATTATGGTGGCTGCTGGACATTGGAACAATGATGGTCCTGCTTCAGTGTTGATTCAGTCAGGCTCTCTCTCTCTCTCT